TTTGGTCTTTTTGAGACAGGGTCTCCCTGTAGCCCCAGCTGTCCTGGAACTCACTATGTAGACCAGGCTGGCCTCAAACTCACAGAGATCCGCCTGCCTCTGCTTCCTGAGTGCTGGGATTAAAGGCATGCGCCACCACGCCTGGCGTTTGTTATTTATTTTGATGTGTGAGGACAATTGAATTTAAAAGAAAAACACCCCAGGACAGGCAAGCTGTAAATTTCAGCAGTTCCCCTGAGAATAAAAATGGAGGAAAGAAGGAAAAAGCCGTATCATTTAAGTTACTAGCATGGAGGATCAGTTACTAGGAACTGCCCATTTATTTATTTTGTGGGGGGGGGTGGGGAATGGGGGTCATGTGTGCCATGGCATGTATATGAAGATTAGAGGAGAACCTGTAGGAATTGGTTCTCTCCTTCTACCCTGTGGGTTCCAGACATCAAACTCAGGTTGTCAAGCTTGGTGGCAAGTGCCTTTACCCACCAAGCCACCTTGCCAGTCCTGACATAGGCTCTTCCTGACATTCCCTCTCTTATCTGTGTTTGGAGGTTCCTGTAGTCTACCCCTGAATCCTGAAGCCTCTGTCCCTAAGGCCTTGGTTCTCTGTCTTCCTTGGACGAAATGTTAGGATTCCAAAGGGCCTTTGCTAGTCTTTTGTTGCATGTGAAGAAGGTGTTTGTGTGACTCTCTGAAGTATGTTGAATGCACTATCGTTAGAAGAGTAATGATTCTGCTTGTTTACCTCAAGTGACCCATACAGCAGCTCCCAACCTAACTGTCCTCCCTGCCCCTCCACAGCCCCTGATCCTCTCTCGTGGCTCCCTAGCCTCTGGGTTTTCCACACCACCTCCAAGTGGAATGTGTTGCTGTTTGTGGCAGGTTCACAGCTTCCTGTGGAGTTCCTGGGGCCAGTAGCATCCATCTGTGTGTTGAGGGTCCTGGAGCCTTATCTGATGCTTGCCGTTTGCAGGGTAGATGTGAACACTGACCGTAGGATCAGTGCCAAAGAGATGCAGCGCTGGATCATGGAGAAGACCGCAGAGCACTTCCAGGAGGCCATCAGGGAAAACAAGCTACACTTCCAGGCCGTGGACCCCGATGGTGACGGTACAGTGGGCTCACTTTGCAGAAATAGGCAGAAGGTTCAGTGGGTGGACTCAGGCTGCATATTGTAGTCTTGATGAGTGGGACCTGGCAGATGTCCTCAGGCTAAGTCATGGAAGAATGTAAGAGGCCAGAGCCACAGTGAGCATGGGGATGCTCAAGGCATGAGTTTGTTTCTCATGGTAGCTGAGTGATTGTTGAAACTAAAGCGTACACAAAACAAGTACCATGTATGACTGAAGTGGGCTTTTTAAAAAATTTTGTCTGTGTATGGATGTATGTGTGTGTATTCATATGTGTGGGGGCAAATGTGTGCAGGTACACATGTGTAAACATGCATGATGGAGACAGAGGTTGATTGCTCTCCACCTTTATTGTGGCAGAGTCTCTCACCTGAGCCCAGAGCTCACCAATTTTGTTAGTCTGGCTAGCCAGCTTGCTCTAGAGATCCCTTGACTCAGCACCAGGATTACAGCTGGGCTACCACACTAGCCAGCATTTATGTGGGTGCTAGGGGTTCAAACTCAGACCCTCATACTTGCATGGCGTACACTTTTCTCCTCAGCTGTGACCCAAGTGTTTTAACTGAAAAATACAAGCTCTTACATGTCTGTAATCCTGTAATTCAAGGGAACTGAGGCAGAAGAATCTAGAGTTCAAGGGCAGGCAGGCTATATAGTGAGATGCTTCTCAACAAACCAGAAGACCCAGTAACTCAATAGAAATGTGGGGTTCCGGGCTGGAGAGATGGCTCAGCGGTTAAGAACACTGGTTGTTCTTGCAGAAGACCCGAATTCGAATCCCAGCACCCACAAGGCAGCTAACAACTGTCTGTAACTCCAGTTCCAAGGGATCTGACAGCCTCTTCTGTCCTCCGTGGGAATTGCACAACATGGGTGCACTTACCTACGTGCAGGCAATACACACATGCACATAAAAATTAAAAAAAAAAAAAAAAAAAAAAAAGAAATGTAGGGTTCCTCCTGGCACTCTTCCCTCTTCTGCTAGTAGCCTGTGGGATACTTGGTCCTGAGGGATAGAGACCCCAACTGACTCTACAGGTGAGGAATTATTCATACGGCACTGGCTAAAACCATGGACTGTGTGGGTGCTGGCTGCTCTGCCCCTCATTGCCACCCTGGCAACATATGTGGAGCTGGTAGTTTGTACCCTCTGCCCTGTGGCTGCCTATGACCCAAGGATTTCTAGCAGATGACCTAAAATAACTGTTCTTTACAGCCTGCCTTATTAAGCATCTTGATGGGTGATCTGCTCTTTTAGGCCATGTGTCCTGGGATGAATATAAAGTGAAGTTTTTGGCAAGCAAAGGCCACAATGAAAGGGACGTTGCTATTGCCATCAAGAATCATGAGGAGCTCAAAGTGGATGAGGAGAGTGAGTACTGCGACCCAGCCAGCTGGATACTGGGTCACTACTGGGATGGGGTGGGCTGGTTAAGAGTAGAGCGGAAGCCAGGCGTGGTGGTGCATGCCTTTAATCCTAGCACTCGGGAGGCAGAGGCAGGCGGATCTTTTGTGAGTTCAAAGCCAGCCTGGTCTCCATAGTGAATCCAGGCCAGCTGGGGCTACAGGGAGACCCTGTCTCAAAAAAAAAAAAAAAAAAGTAGAGCAGAGAGGGGCTGGAGAGATGGCTCAGAGGGTTAGAGCACTGACTGCTCTTGCAGAGGATGCGGGTTCAATTCCCAGCACCCACATGGCAGCCTACAAACTGTCCTTAACTCCAGTTCCAGGGGAATCCGAAGCCCTCTTCTGACCTCTGAGGCATTGCATGACACAAGTGCACTCACATACATGCAAGAAATACTCATACACAGAAAATAAAAATAATAAAATATTTAAAAAAAACCAAAAAGTAGAGCAGAGAGACTCTAGCAGCACAATTGTGTTTTAGATGCCAGGTGAGAGCCCTGGGGACAGCTTGTTGGAGTGTCCAGAGACACAAATGTGTCTTCATGTATGTGTGTGGATGTGCATGTACATGTGGTGACTGGGACAGCTGATCCAGCATAGGTTAGTATTGACCATCAAAAAAGAGGTTGCAAAACTGGTGCCCATGATCCACCAACATCTGAGTGCTCTCTTAGGTCTGGCAGAATGGCAAGCAGCTAGCCAGCTGTTCTTGGACACAGAGTCCACTGGAGACAGCACCTTCAATAGCAGATTATACATGTCATTGTCATTATGTAGTTAGACCATAAAGAGAAGTTGAATGCTGTAAGACATAAGACTGACTCTGCCCTGGCTTGAAACCTAGGATCTGGTATTTTGTAGTGGAGGCAGGGAGCACCTGGATCTGAAAGGGGGAAGGCTCTTAGTAGAGGGAGTAGCCTTTGTTAAGGGTCAGCAGGGCTTCACAGTGACATCTGCAGTAAAGCCAGCATTAGGCAGTGCCCTGGGCCCTCAAGAGCAATACCACTTCCAGGTGGAGGTATGGACAGTAGTTTGCAGGGAATGTCAGAGTCATGCCAGTCTTTGGCATGTGGGGGTGGGGTGCCTCCAGAGGTGAGTGTCAGGAGGAAAGTCTGGATAGCTGGTTTGTTAAGCATGACTAAGGGACCTCACTCATTACTGCCTCTAGCCCAAGGCTCCTTCCCCTTCCCCTTGTTCCCTGGTCATATCTGGAAATTCATTCACAGCCCTTGTCTGACTCTGCTTAGAATCAGGACTTGTGGTGCCCTCTGCCTCTGTCACTCATGGGCTGGTCACATTGTTTACAGCTCTTTCTGGCAGATGTACATACCCCACACCTACACTCTGCCTGTCCAGAGCCTCTGACTTTAACAGATCATAATCTATGACGCAGCCCCTTACCCTTTCTAGTAGCACAGAGACCCTGGCAACCTCCACTGACCATCCATCCCAGTGCCATGATGATAAGTATTTAGTTCTGTCCTTTTCTTTGTCTTTTTTTTTTTTTTTTTTTTTTTTTTTTTTTTGGTCTTTTTGAGACAGGGTCTCCCTGTAGCCCCAGCTGTCCTGGAACTCACTATGTAGACCAGGCTGGCCTTGATCTCACAGAGCTCTAATTGCCTCTGCCTCCCAAGTGCTGGGATTAAAGGCTTGCGCCACCATGCCCGGCTCTTTGTCCTTTTTTAGACAGGCTATCACACTGTAGCCCAGACTGGCCTTGGATTTTCAGCAGTTCTGCCTCAGCCTCCCTAGGATGTTCTAAGTCCTGTCCTTTTCTGAGCCCTCAAATTGGACATTATTCTCTTCTTCCCAAAAGAATTGCCTGCTTTTTCCTGTCTTATTCTGTTTGTGTTTCCACCACTGTCTTTTTGTTTCATGCTGTCTGTTGCAGCGGGACCATGGGCCCTTGTCCTGCTCCTGTGGTGAGGCTAGGTATGCCTGTCCAGCTTGTTAGCAGTTTTGGAGATGCCTTTCCTGGCAGTTGAGAGCTTTGTGTTCTTGAAGCTGTCCTCTCTGATGCCTTTGGGATGTGGTCTGACTCTAGCCATTTTACTTAGCTATCTGTCCTGTCTGGGACATGTCACTCCTGCATCTGGAGCCTGGGATGTTCCTGTGAAGCTCTATTTGCCCTCAGGACTTAGAGGAGGTGTTTAGAATTTACCTTGTCAAGGTTCTCCATGCTGAGGTCCCAGTTCCTACTCAGTGGTGTCTGACCTTCTTCAGTCTGTTTTTACATCCTTTAAACTCCACACAATGTGAGGCCTTCATTTGATTTTCTTTTTTTCTTTTTCTAATCATAAGGTTTCTAAGAATGTTTAAGTTTTCATTTTATGTACAGTTTTTGAGATTTTATTTTGGTCTTTTTGAGACAGGGTCTCCCTGTAGCCCCAGCTATCCTGGAACTCACTCTGTAAACCAGGCTGGCCCTGAACTCACAGAGATCTGCCTGCCTCTCTGCCTCCCAAATGCTGGGATTAAAGCCTTGCACCACCATGCCTGCCTCCTCATCTGATTTTCTATGGCAGGATCTGAGCAGTTGGTATGATCCTGAGGTTAGAAGCCTGCACTTTACATCTGCCCATGTAATGCCTATGGCTCTTCCTTTGCACATAGTTCACGTCTTGGGGGAGAGTCTGCCTTACATCATTTTTATTTATTTATTATTTGTTTATTTTTTATATGTGTATGAGTATATTACCTGCATGTGTGTAAGTGTATCCATGTTGTACAATGCCTGTGGAGGTCAGAAGGCGGCATCAGATTCCCCTGGAACTGGAGTTACAGGTGGTTTTTAGCCACCATGTGGGTGTAGGGAATTGAACCCAGGTCCTTTGGAAGAAAGGCCAGTGCTTGCTCTTAATTGCTGAGCCATCTCTTCAGCCCCACTTTTGTTTGTTTGTTTCTGAGACAGGATCATTCAAGTGATTTGCTTGCTTCAGCTTCCCAAGTACTTAGGACTATAGGATTGTGCCACAACAACCCATTCTCCATCATCCTTTAAATGAGTATTGTTTCATAGATTAGATTGCCATAGGATCTACTATTGTGTAAAGGCTACTTGACCTGTCTGTGATGATTGAGTACATGATGGGTCATGGAGATGCTGCTGCTCTCAGGATGTGGCCGAGTGCAGAGTTTGGGCACCATAGTGAAGCCATGTAGGTAGGCAGGGATCTTGGGGTTCCTGGAGCTGAGCAACCTGGAAGCCTAGACATCAGGACTTGGTCACTGACCACAGTGAGTCCCAGAATGGATAAAGATGCCTTTCTGCTCTAGGGACTTGGGGGACTTCAGGGGCGCATAGGTAGCCATTGCTCTAGAAAACAAGGCCATCTGCCCAGAGACTGTCCTTGGTCCAGATGGGAGGGTCCATGGGAAGCTCTGTTCATTACCTCATTCATTTCTAGAAACTGGGTTTTCTGCATTCTGTGCCCTCTGTGATACTGCACGTGAAAAAAAAAGTAGAGAGGAACAAAAATGACACCTTTGTTCCTGTAGACACCGATAAGGGTGAGTCAGCCTCACAGTGAAATTTCCATTTCTGCTGAGGAACAAACAGCTCAGAGTGTACTGAGAAGGTGGGTTGGGCAGTAATGGGATCCTGTGTATCCCTTGCCCAGGGCCAGGCTTTCCTGGGTAGGCTGGCCCCTTAGACTTGAGCCTGGAAAGTGATGGCCCTCTTGAGTCCTGGCCGCTCCTCTTGGAATCTTGTCAGTGTTTGCACTAGGGTCCAACATTGCCAAGGTGCTCACAGATGTACCTTTCTCAGCACAGGAAGTCCTTGAGAACCTTAAAGATCGCTGGTATCAGGCAGACAATCCTCCTGCAGACCTGCTGCTGACTGAGGATGAGTTCCTGTCATTTCTTCACCCCGAGCACAGCAAGGGCATGCTCAAGTTCATGGTTAAGGAGATTGTTCGGGACTTGGGTAAGGCCTGTCTCTGTGCTGGCAGTGTTCTGGGACTGAGGGGTAACTAATGGACTGGGAATGCTACACTGCTGAGTGGGAAGCCCAGCCCCAGGGTGGGTGGGCGAGGCCTGATATGGTTTCTAAGGAGGTCTTTGAGTGGCACCCATTGAGTTTTGGGTAAAGCTCATACTGATCACCACCTTCCTCCAACCCTGTCATCTTTAGACCAGGACGGTGACAAACAGCTGTCTCTTCCTGAGTTCATCTCCCTGCCTGTGGGCACTGTTGAGAACCAGCAAGGGCAAGACATTGATGACAACTGGGTAAAAGACAGAAAAAAAGAGTTTGAGGAGCTGATTGATTCCAACCATGATGGGATTGTGACCATGGAAGAGCTAGAGGTGAGCAAGGGTGCTCAAGGATTGGGTGTTCCCCAGGGATGGCCCTAGGTTTAGATGCTATGGGCTGAGCCTGTAGCAAGGCCCCCAAGATAAAGGGGCTGCTTACATGATGACCTGAACCAGTGGGTGTCAGTGTTAAAGCTCAGAGTGGAGAGATGGGAAGGTCTTGTGAAGCCCTTTGTCAGTGAACCACTGGCTTTTAGGAAGCAACCCTGTGTAGCAGCACCATCTGTGGAAGGTGTTAGGCTTTTTTTGTGTGTGTGGGGTGGAACCCAGCCCTTTAAACATGTTAGGCAATTTTTCCATACAGAGCTGCATCCCCAGCCCTGGGTTAGGGGGATTCTTATCGTTCCTCCTTTATGGGACCAGAAGGGAAAGCACATTAGACCCACTTCTGAAGTGACCAACATGCAGGTCTAGGGGCTGTGGGCGCAGGGCCTCCCTGTTGAGAAGGTGCTTGGTAGGAGGCCACTGACTGTACCTGACTCCCACCACAGAACTACATGGACCCCATGAACGAATACAATGCCCTCAATGAAGCCAAACAGATGATCGCCATTGCTGATGAAAACCAGAACCACCACCTGGAGCCTGAGGAGATCCTCAAGTATAGCGAGTTTTTCACTGGCAGCAAGCTGATGGACTATGCTCGCAACGTGCATGAGGAGTTCTAAGCACACCCTCAGCCCTTGACTGGGATCAGGCTGCTTATCTCCTGTCTGACCCTCCCCATACCTTGAGGGGGTTGTGGTCCAGTGAGGTCCAGTGAGGCCCATGATTGGCTGGCCTCTCAATGGGTCTGGGGATGCCACCTGTCCCGTGTCTGAGGGCTGCCATGGGCCCCTAACAGGCTGTCCTAGAATCTTCCTCCTGCTGCTGTGTCCACATGCTCCGGCCCAGCTCCTGCCACAGCATGGCCCAGGTTTATTAAAGATGTGCTCAATAGGCTGTGTTCCTCCAGTGTGTGTCTGAGGCAACAGCCTTCCTATACCAGTCACTGGGCTGAGTGGCATTTACTTGGCCAAATCTCTCTCAGTTGTCACACTGTTCCCAAGAATTGCTAAATAATGGTTCAGTTGAGGTTGCTATACTTCAGGGCCAGGAGCTCTGGGCCCTCCATGGGGTTCATCACCCAATGGGAAATAATGCAACTTGCTGTTGCCTTGAAAACTGAAGGATTAAGATAAAATTAGAACATGCTTCTCTGGAAATGATCAGCCCCATAGATCCTTGGTAAGGACTAGCAGGCCATCCCATGCTTGTCTGCAAGCCTCTCATAGCCACACAGGATCCTAGCCTGCAGTATGAGAAAGTACAGATATTTGTTGTCAATTACTTTAAAATAGAATGACCTGTTTCTAGTGTGTGTTTGCTTTTGGTGGAAAGACCAAGCAGAACAATGGGAACATTGGCTAGGTGGCTCCTAGTAGAAGCTTTTGCAGTGGGCAGTTGGTTATCAGGGGCTTGTAGCTCCCATTAAACACTGATTCTCTTGGTGGTAGTAAATGAGAACAGGATCTGATAGTATGGGCTGGAGAAAAAGTGTTGGTAAAATTCCATATATGAGAAGAGGTATGTGGGGCCAAATTGGGTCTTGAGGTTGGGACCTGCCAGGACCCCACTGCTTGATATTCCGATGGTGAAACAAGTATGTTGAGACAGCTGGCACTCTTTGACTATCCTGGGCCTGCTTTGGGTGTCTTTTGGGTGTAACCTGGTGTTTTCCACAGGGACCCACTTCTGTGTAATATAGGGGGTTCCTGCTGGTCATGAGGGTATGGTGGCACTGGAAACCTTGGCTGGTTTCTAGACAAAGATGAACGACTAAAGAATTCAAGCTACAGCCTGGCGTCTGGTCTACATAGTGAATTCAGGTCATTTGGGGCTACAGGGAGACCCTGTCTCAAAAAGACAAAAAAAAAAAAAAAGAATTCAAACTTCATGGTGTGGGCAGGAAGGTCCCAGCAGGCCTCAGCCTCTGGGTGTCCTGGAATGGCAGCACACACTGCTCTAGAATATGGTCCACCTCCTGGCAGATTATGACTGCCAAACTTGACCACCTTCCCCACCCTGTTCTGTCTCATGGCTTTGACCTGGAGGGTCACAACTGAGGTGGCATGCAGGATCCTCTGTTCAGGTAAGGGTACAGTGTAACCCTGGAAGCCAGCTGCATTCTTGGGCAGACAACTGTTGCATAGTGACACCTGGTCTTTCAAATGTTCTGATGACCTGCAGTATAGTGCCCAAGGAGCAGGAGTTTGTGGGAGCTGCTTTAACTCTCCCTATTATCTTGTCATACAGAGGAGGCGAGTAGGGCCCCACTCTTAACTTGTGCCTCAAGTCTACCTGACTTCAGGAGAGACCATGTGGCAAGTGTGACTTCTCCCATCCCTGGGTTGGATCTTCTTTCTGTCTGCTCATCAGAATTGGGGAACATTGCCTAGGATGCCCTGAGGTCCCTTTCCCAGAACACTCACTACTTCAGAAGTATGGGGTGGGCATCCTGTGGCCTCTTGTCCCACCCTGGCTTTTCTCTACTCACTTCCTAGCCCAGCCTGGCTGTCTGTGCTAGGAGTTTCCACACGAGGGCTGGGGACTTCTGCTTTCACATGTAATACTGGGTGGGGGGTTTCCAGCCCCAGTCCTTCATCTCACCCTGCGGCAGAACTATCCCCAAAACTTAATTTTTGTTTTTTTTTTTAAATTTTTATTTTAAAACAGACTATCGCTCTATAGCCCAGACTGGCGTGGAATTTCCGATCATCATGCCTTAGCCTCTCAAAAGTTGGGATCGTAGGTATGTACCACCATGTATATATAGAACTAGTGTGCAATTTTAAAATTAATTTGGGGATTGGTAATCATGTCTTGTCATAATTTAAAGGTGTAAAAGGGATGCAGAAAAGTTTCCTACCCTTTCCTAGCCAATCCCAGTTTTCTCCTTCAGGGTAGTGGTATAATCAGAGGGATACTGGTACATAAAAAAAGAAAGCCTAACCAGGTGGTGCATGCCTTTGGGAGGCAGAGGCAGGTGGATTTCTGAGAGTTCAAGGCTAGTTGGGGCTACAGGCTATAGACTGTCTCAAAAAAACCAAAAAAAAAAAAAAAAAAAAAGAAAAAAGCCTGTGCTAAGCCTAGTGGGACACACCTGTAATCCCAACACTCTGGAGATGGAAGCAGGAGGATGAGGAGTTCAAGGTCATCTTTAGCTACATATGAGTTTGAGGCCAGCTTGATCTACATAATACTGTCTGAAAAAGTGAAGAAGAGCCAGGTGTGGTGGCACACACCTTTAATCCCAGCACTCAGGAGGCAGAGGCAGGTGGAGCTCTGTGAGTTCAAGGCCAGCCTGGTCTACATAGTTCTAGGCCAGCTGGGCTACTGGGAGACCTTGTCCCAAAGAAGAAAAAAAAAAAAAAAAAAAGTCAAAAAGAGACTGGATAGATGGCTCAGTGGTTAGTATCACATTGCTCTTGCAGAGGATCCAAGTTGGGCTGCCAGCACCCATCCTGGGTAGCTTACAACCTGTAACTCTAGCTCTCTTCTGGTCTCCTTGGGCACAACACTCACTGTGCACATGCCCTACAGCCAGCATAAACATAATTAAAATCTTTTTTGTTGTTGTTTTGGTCTTTTTGAGACAGGGTCTCCTTGTAGCCCTAGCTGGCCTGGAACTCACTATGTAGAACAGGCTGGCCTCGAACTCACAGAGATTCGCCTGCCCCTGCCTCCCAAGTGCTGGGATTATAGGTATGCACCACCAGGCCCAGCGCATACAAACTTTAAAAAAAAAAAAAGATTTTAAGCTCTAGTGATCCTAAACACATACTGCCCATCTGGTTGTGGAACAACATAGGCCTGTGCCGTATACACAAGAACACAGGCATAAACATGCTCACATACCTTCTTCCCTCTCCACCCACTCTTCTTGCCCCTCCCCCATAGCTCTTATAGCCACATCCTGCAAGGAAAAACCCCAGAGTCCTGTGAAGGCAGAGACCAGACAAGGATGTATGTGGGGGTTCAGCAGCCCACAGCCCTTCTGCTCCTGGGTCTCACATTTGGAGCTGCAGCCAAGCTCAACTGTGTCGGGAATACCTATCCCAATGGCCACAGGTGCTGTCATGAGTGCCAGCCAGGTGAGTGGCCTGGCCTTGGGATGCAGGGGAGGGGGATGTCTAGGGGGCAATGATGGAGACACAGGCACAGGCATCGTGGGGGTGAGTGACTTCAGGTGATATAGATGATGCTTCAGAGGACCTGAGACCGAGGGCCAGCCAAGAGTCTAATTCTGAAAGAGCCAGAGCGCTGTCCCCACAGTCCTGGGTCCTGGGCAGAACTACCTACCTTTCTGGGTTCTACTACAGGCAGTGAGATGGTGAACTGCTGTGATCACACCAGGGACACTGCCACCTGTGTGAACCTGGCTTCTACAATGAGGCAGTCAATTATGATACCTGCAAGGAATGTACACAGTGCAACCAACGTGAGCTCCTCTTACTGACCCCACTATCCTGCCCAGCAAGGGGTGCAGCCACACCATAGGTGCCCATATCCTCATGAGGTTGCAGAAGTTAACTCCAAACCACAGTGCATCCTTTTCATCAGGGGCCCTGAATAGCCAGGGCATCTCTCAGGGCACTTCTGTTCTCTGGGGGTAAAGGCTCAGCTAGGACCTCATGAAACTAGTGTAGAGCATGTCTACCATGTGGCCTTACCCTAGCTGTTCTAGTGGGTAAGGCCCAGGATTTGGGGCAAGGGAACTCAGAAAATACTGATTCAGCTGCTCCAGGCTGGAGACAGAAAGAGGGCGGAGAAGAGAGGCTACAGCTACCCTATGCCAGCTCTATAGCCTTCTCCAGGGCCGCATGACCAGGAAGGATAGAATGGCCAGGAGAGGATCTCAGAAGAAGAGCCTGTAGCTGAGCTGCCATAGTTTCCTGAGCTTCAGCTTTACTCCTGTGCCACTAAGGGGAGGAAAGTCCACTCTGTCCTACCCTGTCCACGGGGCATGCGCAAGACTCATCCATAGTCCCATCTGATCTTCCTCTCCAGGAAGTGGAAGTGAACTCAAGCAGAACTGCACACCTACTCAGGATACTGTCTGCCACTGCAGGTCAGGCACCCAGCCTTGGCAAGACAGCAGCCACAAGACTGGAGTTGGTGGGCCTCAGGGTGACCCCTACAGTGGGCAGATATATGTCTGTCCATGGCCAGTGTATGTGAGGTGGTCAGGGTCTATGGGTCCTGGCCCTCTCAAGACATGCCCTTGATAATGGAGTAAATAAGCCATGTTCCCACCTCATACACTGTCACCTTCCCCAGCATCTTTCCAACTAGTTTGGGCCCAGAGCCTCTCATCCATTGGGGCCCAAAGCCCCTCTTCCAAGATTGGGACTCCTGGTCTGCTCTCTGATCAGTGCTAGTGGGTGGAATGTGGGAAGGGAGGAGCTTACAGAAGCCAAACCCCTCCTTCTATCCACTTGCATTGGTGGGCTGACCAGCAATGCCCCCTCCAGGGCTCACCTGGTGGCATCAGACACTTGACCTATCCCATATCTTTGCCTCAGACTGTGTTCCCTGCCCTCCTGGTCACTTCTCCCCAGGCAACAACCAGGCCTGCAAGCCCTGGACCAAGTGAGTGTTGTGGCTGACTCGATTGCTAAGGATTGGAGGATGGGAGAGGTTTGGAGACTTAGGAGCTGGGGTCCAAATAGGCCAGGTCAGGGAATAGAAATCCATGGACCAGGGAAGCCTCCTAACACCTACCCCTCAACATAACCCTATGGGAGCTCTGAAGATGGCGCGGGGGAGGGGGGGCGGAGGTCACGTGAGATCCTAGCCCAGGCTCTAGGAATGTGCCAGTCCCCAAGTGCAGGGGGACTGCACTTCTCCTCCAGGGGGCTTCAAAAGTGCAGGGTAGGGTCTGAGAGAGTGCAGAGCCCCACTTAGACATAGGGCAGGGATGGAAGCAAGGTAAATGTAGAAGCAGAGGCAGGCCTGGGAATGAAGGTTGTAGCAGAGTTGAGGGTGACCCAGTGTAGCTTCCATTACTGTCTCTGCTTAATGTACACCCCAAACCCTCAGTTGCACCTTATCTGGAAGATGGTCCCAGCGCCCAGCTAGTGCCATCTTGGACACAGTCTTGTGAGGACAGAAGCTTCCTGACGACCCTGCTCTGGGAGACCCAAGGCCCTACAGTCAGGCCAACCACGGCCCAGTTTACCACAGTCTGGCCAAGGACTTCTCGGTCACCCTCTACACCCTCCTTGGAGGCTCCCAGAGGTAAGGGAGCCAGGCCTAGGAAGGGAATGGGGAGAGAAGGAAAAGTGGAGGGCTCACTCAGCTGGCCTCTCCTCACAGGCCCTGCACTTGCTGCTGTCCTAGGCCTAGGCCTTGGCCTGCTGGCCCCATTGACTGCTCTGCTGGCCCTGCACCTGCTCCAAAAGGCCTGGAAGTTGCCTGATGCCCCAAAACCCTATGGTAAGTGCCCACTGTGGGCCCAATACAGCTTACTTCCTCAAGGGGTGAGACTCATGCCCTCACTGCCTTCTCCCACTTTCCTTCTCCTAGGGGGAAACAGCTTCAGGACCCCCATCCAAGAGGAGCAGGCTGACACACATTTTACCCTGGCCAAGATCTGAGCAACACCTCAGGAGTAGCTTTATGAGGCAGGGGCACCCCATATCCTAGTGCCCACCAGCACCCTCCACACCATTCTAGGTGCTGGGCTGGCTCTGGGCTCTCCTATGTATGCTGTGCATACTACCTGCCTAGCAGTACCCCCAATAAACATGCTAGCAACTGTGAGTCTGTGACTGACACTGGGGGGCTAAGGTTATACCCTTTTTTGGTGGGACTGGGTCCTAGGTCAAAGTGAAGGTCCACTCAAAGACCTGTTCCTGAGCATACACACCTTAGCCAAGTGGGGAGGGCCCTGGCAAGCAGGGCCTGGGTAACCTGGTCACCGAAGGGCCCATGAACCATGGTCCCCCTCTGACTTGTGGTTTGGGCAGCCGATCCAGGGCTGCCCTTTTTCTTTAGTCCCACAAGTGGTGAAAAGTGAGTGATGGTCCCTGAAACCACTAAGGTGTTGCCTTGGGAATCCCTGAAAATGGCCTTGGCTCCATGTAGCAGCCAGTCAGTCAGCTGTGTTGGAAAACTGGAGGCTGTTGCTGGGCATGGTGGTACACACCTTTAGTTCCAGCACTTGGTAGGTAGAGGCAGGCAGATCTCTGTGAGTCTACATAGTAGACTGGTCTACATAGTAAGTTCCAGGTGGCTATAGGGAGACCCTGTCTCAAAAAGCCAAAAAAAAAAAAAAAAAAAAAGGAAAAATGGAGCCTGTGGCTTGAACCAAACTTCAACTGTCCGGAAACATTTACTCCCCACAAAAAAAAGTTTGTTGACACTATGTCATCCAGCCTTGTGCTATGCTGAGAATGAGCTTTCTTTCATAGGCTATAAAGTTTGATTCCTGTTCTTGAACATCTTCTGCAATCTTTCCCTTTTATTTGAGTGATGTCATGGTTTTTCTCAAAAAACCAAAAAAAAAAAAAAAAAGAAAGGAAAAATGGAGGCTGCTGCTTGAACCAAACTTCATCTGTCCTGAAATCATTTATCCTCCATAAACAAGTGTTCTTGAACATGATCATGGAGATTTTATGTAAATAGTTGTGAGGTGAAAAAAACTTAATTATCCATACTGACAGCAGAGCAGACAGATCAATTGCAACAAATTCATATAGACCCACAGGCAGGCATTACCTTGGTGTTGAGGGACAGAGAACCTGTAACCCACCCTAAGGTCCCAGGGTCCTGTAGCTCCCCTCCTCTGCATTGGATTCTAGGAACAGCATCTGGAAATGGCAGCATTCCTCAGGCAGCATGGGTTCCCAACAGAAACTCAGTGAACTGAAAGCAGGAAGCTCCTGGATGCTTATGGAAATGGTCAAGTGATGATTGACTATGCGAGCAAAACTAAAAGCCAAGAAAGCCCAGGTCGGTGCCACATGTTGCATGCTAGGAATCACTAACAGGCAGCACTGGGCTTTGTCAGCTGCTTTGTAAAGAGGCATGGGAAGCCTGGGAGGCAGTGAAGATAGCCTTTACCTGGCTCTTGCCACTGGCCTGACCTTAAGGGCTGCACCTGTCACCCTTCCTGTCTTCCATCTGGTCTACGTGTCGCCAGATAAATGGTGGTCTCAAGCCCCTCCTTCTGCATGCTGAAGCATCTTGTAACTTGTATGCCAAGGCACTATGACCCACACGGCTGGCTAGACAAACCCATCTCTGATCCTGGCTCCTGTCCCACCTCTTTCTTCCCATTCTCTGACAGATTCCAGCTGCCCCTATCCAAGGGAAACATCTATTAGTCTACTAATTGCCCTTCACCGGATGCCTATGTACAACCTCACCTTAGGCCTATGAGGAATGAACAACAGACTAATCAGCAGCCCCCACCCCATAGGGGTGTCCAAGCCTGGAGGAGCCAGGCAAGAAGCTGGGGTGTGTCAGAAGGAGGTACATGTTCTGGGGTCTGGAAGGTTAGAGACTGTAAAAAAGAGGCTTACTCCTCACACTGAACAGGTCATACCCATACCTCCTCCCCTCTGGGCAAAGCCCTCCAGTTTTGCTCATGACTCCTGCCCATTTGGAGCTCTTGGGCCTCTTCCCAGCCTGGACACCCCTGACCCTGCCTCTGCAGACACTAGATTTACTTTCTCTTAGCTTTGGTGTTATCTCAAACACATACTCTCTATACCCCTCACTCCCCAAACTCCCTAAACTGCCTCAATTGAAGCCCCATCTTGGCATGGGAATTCTTCACAGGGCCAAGATGCCAAGACCCTCTGCTGCCTGGAACAGGTTCACCATATAGTCAAACCATATAGAAATACAAAGAGCTGCTTAAAAAATAAGGGAAATAACACTGAGCAGATAAAAATCACTTCTGCCCACCACCCAGTTACAGAGGCTGCTTATTCTTGGGAGTCCCTTGTAGTCATTACCCAGAAGTGGGTGGGATAGGAAGTCTGATATTGGTGCTGACATTTGTTGATATCATCTGCTTAAAGCATTTCCCCAGGTGTATGTTCTATGTCTTTTTTTTATTTTTTTGGTCTTTTTGAGACAGGGTCTCCCTGTAGCCCCAGCTGTCCTGGAACTCACTATGTAGATCAGGCTGGCCTTGAACTCACAGAGCTCCACCTGCCTCTGCCTCCCAAGTGCTGGGATTAAAGGTGTACGCCACCACGCCCGGCCTGTTCTGTCTTTTTATCTCTGTGGTCCCTGTGTGGCTGGTCCAGGCACACTGGGTCTCAGGGAAGAAACCTTTAGGGAGCTCTCCAACAGCCTATATGTTGCCGTGCATGCCTGCACCAAGTGGATCTCACCATGGCTGAGCTGGGACATGGCACCAGGGCCACAACCCCTATGAAACACCTCCAGCATACACTGCATGCAGTGTTCTTGGGGTAGATCAAGGCTTCGCTATCTTTACCCTGTGGTGGAGGCTCCTGCCTACAGAACAGGGATACAATGATTGGTAGGAGATGGCATGTGTGGCTCACCAGGGTTGGAGGTGATACTGTGCAGGCATGGTCCCGGCTGATGCCTTAGATTTTTGTTGTTGTTTGCTTGTTTGAGACAGTGTCTCACTCTGTAGTCCTGGCTGGCCTAGAAATGTAAATGAGACTGGCCTTGAGCTCATAGAGATCACCTGACTGCCTCCTAAGTACTGGGATTAAAGGCATGTGCCATCATGCTTGGCATCTTAGATTTTTTTTTAATGGGCAGGAACACAGCCCAGACTGCCTTGCCCCTCTTTCATCAACACCTTTTTTTTGGGGGGGTGTCTTTTTGAGACAGGGTCTCCTTGTAGCCCCAGCTGGCCTGGAACTCACTGTGTAGACCAGGCTGGCCTTGAACTCACATAGATCCACCTGCCTCTGTCTCCCAAGTACAGTCCCAGGGATTAAAGGCATGCACCACCATACCTGGTCCTTCAACACCTTTAAAAACTTTTAAATTCATTTTATGGGTATGAATGTTTTGCCTACATGTATGTAAGCATACTGCATGAGTACAATGCTCATATAGGCCAGAAGAGGGCATTGGATCCCTTGTAACCAGAGTTACGGGATAGTTGTAGCCACTATGTGGGTGCTAGGAACTAAAAACAAGTCCTCTGCAAGAACAGCAAGTGCTTTTAACCACTGAGCCATTTCTTCAGCCCCTTCCCTTAACACCTTTATCTGGAGTCCAGGTATAGTTGGGAGGCTTTCCTTCTGCCCATGCACTCAGAGCCACCTCCCTGGCCAGGAGTAAACAGATCTCCAGGCTTCTCAAAGAAGGGGTTCTGGCGTGGTTACCTTGGAGTATAGCACCCAGAAACCTTCCCACTCTGCAGTGACCAGGGTTGTCTCTCAGGAGGCTTTACAACCTGAGGCTGGAGAGCAACAGGAATCACACTGCTGACAACTTCGAACATTTTCTGCTTCCTTAGTTTCCTTCCAGCTGCAACCTGAAAGAGCATCTTTACCAGGATTCCTGGGCCTGCCACAGTCACAATGGTCTCCATACCTCCTGCTGTGGGTACAACCATAGCCACGTTCTGAGATGCTCTTGTCCACCCCCACTACTCCCAGAAGCCCCCACCATTTACCCCTGTGCTTGCTCTCAACTGGAGGACTTGGGAAGCAAGGCTGAATAATCCAGAGAGGCTTCCTGGTAGAGGCAGGGTTCTAGAACTCATCAGTGACCATTGAGGCTCAGAGAGACAGAAAAGTCTCACCATAAGGTGGAGGCCTGATAGCTCCATCAGGGAGTCCCTTCTTGTTGTCTAGACATGTGTGAGGAAGTAAACGAAAGTGGCTCCAGAAAGCGAGCCAAGAAATCCAAGCTGGAACAGATCCTACAATCAGGGCTGGACCTGGGCAGACCATGCTGCCCTTGGCTTCAGGTGCCTGTTAAGAATGCCCAGTTTATGATAACTTTCACTGAAAGGTATAGTAAATGCTCTGGTCTCCCCTCCCTGACCATCCTGATGTCCTCAGCCTGGAGGAGCTCTGTGGGATAGAAGAAAGGAGGAACTTAATACAATAACAAGGGATGCCCATAGGTGGCAGCAGCAACAGAGCATATATGGGACACTCTTCTCTGCAGCCTGGCTGGATCAGGTACCCCAGGGTAGGAAGAGGCTTGTTCTAATTCCAAAGGTAACCTCCCAGGCTCCTCAGCAGCTGGAAGCTGAAGCACTTTGGAGTTCAGGAGGCTTCAAGGAGGATGGGCGGCTTCATTCTACCCCCTTCAAGTGTAGAAGGTCTTTACAAACACTACAGTTGTCTGCAGGAAGCTGTAGGTGGGGCTGGGCTGGAGCCCCAGAAGGTCTTTACAAACACTACAGTTGTCTGCAGGAAGCTGTAGGTGGGGCTGGACTGGAGCCCCAGAAGGTCTTTACAAACACTACAGTTGTCTGCAGGAAGCTGTAGGTGGGGCTGGGCTGGAGCCCCAGAAGGTCTTTACAAACACTACAGTTGTCTGCAGGAAGCTGTAGGGGGAGCTGGACTGGAGCCCCAGAAGGGGGCAGGTACAGAGGGAAGGGTGGGGACAAGGCATGTAGGAACAGGTTGGGGCCGCCTAAAATCAGCCAACTGGAAGACTCAAGATTTGAAGACTCAGGGAGCAGCACTATGGGAACATGGGCCACCCTGTATGGAATCACACTGATCTGTGTGCTGGGCCTGGCCAAAGGGATGAGCTGTGGCACTGGCCGCTTCCAGCGTGGGACTGGCACCAATGTACGTTGCTGCAGATTATGTGCTCCAGGTAAAGGAAGGAGGGGAGTGGGATCCAGGATGGGTACCATACTCACATCTGGTTCCTGTCACCCAGGAGGGTGGGAATCAGGGCACAGGTGGGTGGGTAAACTTTCTGACTCTAAAACCTTCAGTCTGGGACTGAGAAGGAGGTGGAAGGGCACAGTTGAACCAGTGATCCAAGGTCAGAGGTCTGGGAGCAGAGGCAACAGGGGCTGGAAACCTCTCCTCCAAGAGGGTTCTGGGGTCCAAGGTAAAAGAGGACCATCCCCTGACTTGCTGGGAAGGTCGGACTTGGCCATCACCTAGGTTACTCCCTGTCTGGCTTGGGGTCCTATCACCCCCCTCTGCCTTGTCAACGGTCTGTGCCCTGTAATTATGGGTGAACAGCAGTCTGTGGACTGAGATCAAAGCAAAACATCTTAGCACTTCATGCGCCAGCCCTGTGGTATGGAGAGGGGCAGCTCTGAGGGTCCACATCTTGGTGACAGGTATGGACAGCAGTGCAGGTAACTACTGAGGAGAAATATAGGATGGGAAGGGGGCAGCATGAGCCCAGGGACTTAGGACTGAGTAACTCTCACATCCAATGGGACTTATGAAGCCATAGCTTTAGAGAAATGGGAGGTATGTATACTAACAGCTGGCCATGTGAGTGGGAGACACTGAGTTGAGCAAAGCCCAGGTTCTTGGCCTGGGCTTGACTGAGGATGGAGGCATAGCACTCCAACCACCCCAAGGATTAGGAGGAGTTCTGAAGAGCAAAGGGGCTCTGCTCAGTGGGTGAGGCTCTTATCACTGCCCAGGTAAGGAGGCCTGTCCTGAAGAGGGCTGTGTGTGTATCCGGCCGGAGTACCACTGTGAAGACCCTCAGTGCAAGACTTGCAAGCACTTCCCCTGCGCACCAGGACAGGAGGTGCAGGCTCATGGTAGGTCCCTTGGAAGCTATTGCTGACAATATTTATCCCCAAGAAGCCCAGGGTTTTAACCTGGGGCCAAGCTAGTGTAGATGCCCAATGAGCATGTGTAGGCATGTAAGGATGCTTGCATATAGCTGGGTAGGCAGGGACCAGCATCCTGGGTTTTAGAAGGGCTAGATGGGACAAGTATTCTTAGGATACATGCTAGTATATAGCTTTGGAAGAACCCGTCTCCCTCTTCTCCATCCTGATAAGGGTATGGAAGGCCTCTTAGGGCTGGCTGTGAGGGCCTGTGGGGATTGTTCAGGTGGTGGTCTGTTCTCAGACTTTTTTTTTTTTTTTTTGGTCTTTTTGAGACAGGGTTTCCCTCTAACCCCAGCTGTCCTAGAACTCACCATGTAGACCAGGCTGGCCTTGAACTCAGAGATCCACTTGCTTCTGCCTCCCGAGTGCTGGGATTAAAGGCATGCGCCACCATGCCCAGCCTGTTCTCAGACTCTTACTCTGACTATGGCCCAGGTCTTGCATCTATCCTGTCCATTTGCACATGGGCAGATGGATCATGCCATCCCTAGAACAGGCATATTAGGCATGGCCTATCCAGATCCTAGTCCGGGGGCCATTAGACCTATGGTGAATGGCTGGACACTACTAGCCTGCCTCCCTCCTCATTCACCTCAGTTCCCACTGCAGTCTATCTGTCTGTCCACAGGGACTATTACGTTTGGCTTCAAGTGTGTCGACTGTGCTGTGGGTACCTTCTCTGCAAGCCGTGAAGGCTACTGCAGACCTTGGGCCAAGTGAGTCCTACATGGGGCCCTGGATGGGTAGCCTAGACTCATTCTGAGGTCCCTTCCCTGTGGTGACTCCTGAGGGCTCCTATTCATCCCCCAAATGACTCAGAGGGCAGCAGTCCTCCCAGTGTGACTACTTGGGTGATCAAACCTGACAGTGTCTATGCCTTTGTCTCAGCTGTGCCCAGTTTGGATTTCTTACCGCGTTCCCTGGGAACAAGACCCACAATGCTGTGTGCATACCAGAGCCAATGCCCACTGAGTCGCATGGCCAGCTGACCATCATTCTCCTTGTCATGGCTGCCTTCATTCTCCTTCTAGCCATAGTCCAGTTGGGCCTGCACATCTGGCAACTGAGGAGGCAGCACATGTGTCCCCGAGGTCAGTTGTGTCCCAGGGAAGGGGAAGATGTGCTTCAGGCCACCTGCTGATAATAGTTTCACCACAGAGACCCAGCCACTCCTGGAGATGCAGGTGCTACCAGTTGAGGATGCTTGCAGCTTCCAGTTCCCTGAGGAAGAGCGTGGGGAGCAGATAGAGGAAAAGAGTCGGCTGGGGGACAGGTGGGCATGAGCCTGTCTTTCTACACCCCAAGCCAGACCTTCCAGGACTTTCCCAGGCTGACCCTTTGGAGGCAGCAGGGTCTCTGCTCTGTGCCCTGCCCTGGGCCTGGCCCTGCTCCCCTCAACAGTGGAAGTGGGTGTAGGATGGAGATGATGATGAATTTCCAGACCTTGCAGAAGGGTGACAATTATGGCTGGGCCCTATAGTCAGGTGTTCATGACTGGCTTCTTCTTTTACTAGCCTTGCTAGAATGGGGTCTTTGGGCCCTTTGTGAGCACTTAGTGTTCAGCACAAGACCTCAAGCAGATGGTTTTCAATAAACACTTGTCCAGTGATCTGATTAGATGTGTTCTGGGGACAAAGGAAAGCAAGGAGCCAATGGCTGCGCTTAGGGACACCTTGTCTACCTGTGCCCATGGTCTTTCCTAGGGTACAAAAAGGGGAGGGCAGGTGGGTGAGATGGCTCAGTAGGTAAAGACACCTTCCACCAAGCCTGATGACCTGAGTTCCATCCCTGGGAATCACATGATAGGATAGAACAGAGTCCTACAAGTTGTCCTCAGACTTCATATATGTGCTGTGGACATGCCTGCCCTTACACATACCCACATTTGCACACAAATAATAAAAAAAAAATATTTTTAAAAAGGAGCATCCAAGGCCTCTCCTCAGGACTTCCTCTTGGGGGTAGCAATGGAGGCACAAGTCAGGATTATTATTAGGCATAAGCACTCACTAAGGACCACTAGACTGAGGAGGCTTCTGGAAGGAGGGGATGTACATTGCCTTCTTGGCTTCTTATCCAAACTACCTCCTCCTTCCCTTGCCAACCATACCTGACACATACTTACTGGGCATCCATGTACTAAGCCTGTAGTCTCTGAGCTATTGCTCTTTGGGACACCTGTGGAGATTGGTTTCTGACTGTACTTTGGGACTTTGCCCTGACCTCACTGCCCCAGGCCTTGACCACTTTACACACCCAGCACTTTCTGGCATGAAGCAAGTTCTCTGAAGTACATGTCTTTGACCCTAATTACTCCCCACACCCCGGATCCCATTCTCTGCTCTTGGGGCCTGGCTCTGTAACCCTCCAAGCAAAGCAGTGGCAGCTGTCGCTCACAGAAAGATCCAAGAAAGACATCTTGGCATGGATGTCCAGGGAGTGGCAGACCACGTGAGAGGGATCTCAGCAGCACCCTTGAGGCACCTGTATAACTGGGTGCCATCCTAACTCCACCTACCACCCCCTCCAGTGCCTCCCATCTTCTCTTTCCTCCCCATAGCTCACAGCAGGTAGACGGGAGAAGATGGGATACCTTCCAGTGGTACAGCCCCATTAGCACACAGGCTCCTGGGAGACTGAAGGAGGAGATATCGGTTCCAAGAGTGGTGGAGGACATTGGGATCTATAACATAGAGAGCCCGAGGATTACACAAGATTTCCTGGGGATGTGCTGGAGAGTGGACACTAATCTACCTCTGGGTGCTTATTGATGACTTTAGTTATAGTTAGTCACATTACATCAGCACAGCACCCTCACTGCTTGGAGCTGCCTGCCAGTCCCCTAGAGGGTGAGTAAGCATGTCAGGCATGTGCAGCCCACAAAGGGGGCATCTCTTATCCTGCCTTCCAAGCCATAGCCCTAGGTCCTGAGCAGGAGCCAGTCCTTGCCTTTACTTCACTTTGGGCTGCCACAGGAGGGACACCCCCAAAAAGCACCGACATGTGCAGGTACCACAGCCTGCATCCGTTGGAAACTCCATGTGGGCGGCTGGTGGGTATGAGGCAGAGATGGCAGGAGATTCCACAGGGTGGGGTGAGGGGTTGCAGTGGTTTGCACTGCACACTTGCCTTGAAGCCAGAGACCCTCCTACTTTCCATAGCCCTGGACCTGTGCATGTTTGTACAGGTTCACCTCAGGGCCTAAGATGAGCTGTGCCAGCCTGTGAGTTGGACCTGGTGTTATCTACTGGGAGCTGTGAGTTGTGAAGGGTCTGTTCAGGTCCCAGAGATTGGAGCTGAAGGAGGTGGTCCTGTAGAGGCAGTGCCCACCACTACGTGCCAAGCTGCAGGGTAGACCCAGGAGTTCTGGGATGCAGGGAAGAGGCCAGGCTGAGAAAGGTGTTGCTGCAGACTGCAGCCTCCTGCAATCTCAGCAGGAATCACCACAGGCCCTTCTTTTTGGAATAAGGCAGGCAAGGGCCCACTAGTAGAGAGGCAGTGAGGTTGGGGGTGGGCAGAACAGCTAGGTGTGACCCTGCCTGGCCCAGACTAGTGAGTCCTCATAGCAATTAATTCCTGGAAACTTCCACCCCACGGGAGCATCTTCCGGTAAACCACATCCCTCCCGCCTTGAGTTCAAAGATTCTGTTCAACATCAGATAAGGGCCCAGAGGCCACCTCAGTTCCCAGAAATGCTTCTGGCCACAGCTCATGCTCTGCTTCTACCCTCTCACCCTGAGAACTTAACAGTGAGTGACTCACTCAGTGTGGGACCTGCCTCTGCTGGACAGAGACCTATACTAGGGGAAAGAAAGGGATCTCTTCTCTGACACGACTGGACAGCTCCATCCAACACTTCAGGCTCCAGAGCCCTTGAGAGGCAGGTGGATCATGAATGAGGTCTATCCTCTTTGACCATGTAGAACATAGACCATCAACTCCTGGGTCTTCGCATTCCTAGACTGAGTTCAAATTCCAGGGACTCCCCCTAAGGCAGTCACTAGCCCCTATGGGAAGTAGCTGTGTGGGTGGGGAGGAAAGATAGACACCTACCCCTCATTACATTTTCCCAGAAAGTGCCAGGAATTGGGATGCTTTTCAGAGATGATGCAGGCCAGGGACTGCTCTGGGCCCTTCTTAGAGATGCTTTTCCAGGGGAGAAGGATGGAGGGAGTAGGTATATAGGGAGTCCCACTGTCCTTTGGCTGAAACTAAGGTGCTTAGAAAACCCCAGACCCCAGCTGGGCATGGTGGCACACGCCTTTTATTGCATCACTTGGGAGGCTGAGGCAGGCAGAACTCTGAGTTCAAGACCAGCCTGGTCTACATAGAGAGGCCTCAGTGTGTGTCTAAAGGTCTATGCTGGCTTTCCCTCAAGATAGAAGCTGCAGGAACAATGGGTAGAGGATATCTGGGTCAGAGCTGGGCACAACTTGACTACCCACATGTGCTGGTGGAGAAAACTGCTTGACATCCCTGCCTATGTGCAGGACCCCAGGAGTCCCCGAGAGAAAGGAACAAGACAGAGGAAGAGTGGGAGGAAACAGTTGTCATGAACTCTGTTTTCCTTGGGTCACCAACTCCAAGTATTCAGTCACCCTGTAGGGCTAGCTGAGTCTTGCCATCATTTAGCTCCTCGGGCTCTACTCCTGCCTGTCACATCATTTGAATATTAGAGTACCTCATACCTGCCAGGTATCCAGATGCTCAGATGCCCCATAGCCAACCTCCATCCCCAGAGCTCCATGTGGTCTTAGGGCCCTAGGGGGGCTTAGATGAGGGTTATGAGGGGTTGAGGACACCCTGGATGTACTTGCAGATGGGGCCATCACTCCTGTGGGTCACATTCGCAGTATGAGGTCTCTGAAACCTTTATTTCATTGACATTCAGACTCTGCAGCTGCTAGGAATGAAGGGTAGTAGATAGCCCAAGCCTGAAGGGAGCCTGTGATGGGTAGAGACTCTGCCTGGACAGGGCAATCCACTGTCAGCAGGAACTTATATCACACCCCTTGTGGAGACTTCATGTCCCCATAAGAGCAGTGGGAGCATCTCCTGAGAGCTCCACCACCTCTACTGACTTCTGAGGCCTCTAATACTGGGGCTGCTGTTCCATGTGGCAGCTGAAAGCAGGGATGTTCATGACATTGGTGATGCTACCATGGGACACAATTCTGACATGGGCAGGGCACTATACACAGGAGGAGAGGCTGTGGGGCACAGGACTTGGGGGTGACACAAGCTGAGGGTAGTGATAAGTGACCCCAAGGGACATGTCTGTACAGCATCTTGGACCAGCAGAAATGTGGCCCTAACCCTAATAAGCAGGTGTGGATTCACCAAGATCTAAGCTCCCAGGCCCTGAGAAGGGTAGTCTTCACCTTCCTGGTCTTGGTGGATTGCAGAGCAGATACCCTGACACCTATCGGCCAGGGAGGGGCTCTTTCCCAAGGGAACTACAGATTGCAACAGAAGACACTGGACTTTGATCACACAAGGACAAGAGTATGCTTCTCACTTCACCTGGTGTCCCTTACAATAGGCCAGGCTGGGAGAGGGCAGGCTGGAACACCCAGGACAGAGTGGCAGCAGAGTGGTGGGGAAAAGGTGGTTGTGGTAGGGTTCACATAGGATCTCCATGAACACTGCCTCTGGGACCTGTGGGTCTCACTTTACTTCTCTGAGCCCCAGTTCACTCTCTGTTCTGCCCTTTTGTTGAGGGTTCCTGCAATGAACCCCTTCTCTATATGCTGACCAGAGAACAGCAGTAGACCCAGTGGTAGCGAGGCCACTGCATCCTGGAAATGGGGTCACAGTAGTTGGAGGCCACCAAACCAGGCAGGTTACCTTGCCTCAGATACTGTGCTGGTCCAATGCAGAGCAGGGATTAGCCTGGAAGTTCTCCCACATGTTGAACTGGTCCTGATGTCTGGGGTCAATGGAAGGCCAGAGGGAGGGCGAGGAGGAGGAATCTGCCACCTGTCCATGACCATTTTGTGAACAGGGTATACAGAGTGTATAAGCTGTGCTCGGCATTTTGAAGTCAGTGGGAGGGGGTCTTTAGAGTTTTGTGGGGTAGGGTGACCAAGGAGGCAGAGGGTGGCTGGAGGGGCTTACAGGCCACTTACTTGTAAAGCTTAGACACCTCAGAGGTCTGAAGTGGTCAAAGTTTTTTTCAAATGCCAGTGCTAACAGGGAGCACAAGCAGCAGGGGGAAGAGTGAGGAGCAGAGACCCATAGGCAGAAGGAAGGGCGTGAGGCGCCCGGGTGGGACCCGCCTCTGGAGCGTTAGGGTTAGGGTTAGGGTTAGGGTTAAGGTTAGGGCGCAGCTGCGCACTGGGCAGCCGGAAGCTCGTGGCGCTAGGAGTCCCTGAGACACCTCTACTCCTCCTCGCGCTCTTCTTCCGGCGTCCCCGGGGAGGGCTCCTCGGCAGGGTCCCTGCTGCTCGCTGACTGCCCAGGACACAAAGAAACTTCGGGCTCCGCTTCGGGGGCGCAGCCAGAAACCAGAGGCCGCGAGCGGCGCGAGGCGCACAGCAGGGGTCCCGGGGCGGCCCTAGGAGGCGCCGGCTTGCGCACGCTTGGCTGGTCTACAGCCCTCGATGG